AATGTAAGTCTTCTTTAAAATGATCACAGTGTACTGAGTTTTTTTGTCACCTAATCATTTCGAAGATTCAATGTGTGCAAAGATATATCCGAGGAATATTCACAATACTTCTAACATGTCCTGGATGAAGATCGTTCTTCCCTATCCACTCGGTAACAAAACGGATTTCATTTTACATTGAGCACTAGATATCTGCGGACACGGATGTACTGGTATTACCAACCCGTCCCCCTATGCACCGAGCCACCTGATCCATCAAAAATACAAACATTTGGAAATGACGGTTTGTTGTGATTTTCCATTTCTGACGTAGTTGTTCTGATTGGATGGGTATCATGAAACTGGAACACGATATGTGTGGACGGACAGAAGCGAGGAGGCACACATTCGGTAACGAGCAAAATTGCTATCTGTTGGGGAAATAATTAGCTTACAGTTAAATCAGTCGACGCCAGAAAAATGAGTTCAGCCATTTCTACTTGTTTTATCAATGTTTTCAGAGAAATACATTCTGACTACTGTCTTCTTCTTACTAAGGTCAGATAAAGTGAACTGAGGACGAAATAAATGGCGGTTGACCTAACGAAGTTACTGGTATGAGAAAACTGGTGTGGTCTTCCACTAAAAATTGAGAGGAAAGTCCTAATCGACGGCCACATAACCGTTCTCTGAACAAATGAATGAGTGAATGAGATCTCAATTTCTATTCATTCTGGATGGAATTAACCAGGACAATTGACGATAGCTGTCCAGAGAGGTGACGAGAGCTCACTCGATTCTGATCGAGTTCATTTCACGTGTCTGACAATGAAGGCTGGGTTCGGTGAAGCTCTAATTTGGTCCCAGTCTTTTCAAAATAGTTTGCAGTGGGTGTACTTCATTCCAGAAATTCGCCTGGATGCGCATCAAGTGTCATAACCACAGTAATTTCTATTTTTATATGCATGCGTATATATCTAGAGTAGAGTACAATCGGAAGATGAGTGATAAACGGTTGACCATGGACAACTCTGTCTAGAGTAATGTCAATACTGTTCATTTCAACCCAACATTACATCTTCACCACCACTCGGTCCTGAATGTCCCAGCAAATATACCAAGCTGCTCCATCAGTCCAAATCCTTCGCTGAATATCTCTCCACGTGCACTTGCAGTGTGCACAATATACACAATGTACTTCCGGGATACTCGAAAGAAAAACCTTTTCTCACCGCGGCTTACATGATTGCAAGTCCCACTTCCAGTTCTGAACTATGCAAGCAAAAGAGACTTTTTCAGTCCTTGTTGTTACGTTGGCCTAGAAAACGCATTCATTGTGCCTAAAGCAGAGCATCACTCCTCCTCACACACTCCAGCTCCTACACAGTATCATCTACCACAATCTCAACAATCTATTGTTTTTGTATTCACCATCTATTCTCGTTGGTATCACATCGTTCTTGAGCATATCAATCAGTTCATCTTCCTGCGATTGCTTCGTTTGACCTGTGTCCTCTCATTTCATCCACGATTCCGGCTACGGCTACTGCTAGCTTTATCAAATTCGCTTTCTCCGCATACTCTCCTCATTCATCGTTATCTAGTAAGTCGTGATCAACGAATCAGATCTGAGCACTATGATAAACTTATATGTCAGCACCCGATGCGATAAATTTAAAATAGATTTGTAGTTTTTGAATACCGTTTTCAACACTGTGGATGAGAATATTTTACGAATTCAGTACTGATGATTATGTTCCACCGCCCGCCCGGAATGATGAGTAAGTCGCGGCGGCTAACTCTGGAAAAGCGACTGTGGAACTGGACAGACGAGTTGGGATGGCCTTACTGTTCCGGTCAAGGATAGAGCCTCTCAATAGTGACCAAAATGATGCTTGGCTAAGTGATCAAACGCTGCTTCACAGAGGAAATGGTCCGGTAGTCAGTATGGGGCTGAAACGAGACTGAAAAGTGAAAGACTCTTTTCAAAATCTTAAAGAATCAGGGGTACGCGCGTTATTGGACGGAATTCACTAATCCCTTTCTTTGGTTCAGGTGTTAAGAAAGCGGCCTTTCATCAATCGGGTACACAAGTCATGGCAAACATAGATTGAGCATTTCGGAGATGAATAAATAGGTGTCTCTTGTCTTCCGGGTTGAAGTCCAAAAGACTGCGTAACCCCGTGATTGGCGAAACTGAAAGTCATGGCTGCGAACCGATAGCAATGGCTATCTTGCTGTCGTTTCTTATCAGACCAGAATGCTTCAAATAGTCTGTATGCACATTTGGACTGCCTGCTCTCTCTCTCTCTTTTCCGGTCTCTAAACGTAAGTCAAATCCCTGTCCTCCTTACACATTCTCCC